TGTAGAGCGCGCCTGCCTTCTGTTCGAAGCTGGCTGGAATTGCGCCGCACCGCTGCGCGCGCTCGACCTTGCCGCTGCCGAATCGAAATGGTCGTCGGCACTTGTTGAACTTGAAGTCTTCGATGGGGTAGCCCTTCCGCTTGCGGTCCCTCGCGTAGTCCTTGACAGTCTCTGAGCCGGAAATGAGCGCCGGCGCTCCGCAGTCCATGACTCCGGCCAGTAGACCTCGTCGACGATGAGGCTGTCGTCGGCGTGGACCCGCTTCTCGTTGGGCGGCTCGGCGCAGTCCCCAGCCCAGTGGCCGGGCGTGCCGCGCCGCAGGCCGATTGTGCGGATGTTGGCGCTGGTCTCGCCGAGGCGCGCTTGCCCTTCCCGCGGGGTCCGCTGCCGTCGGTCGTAGTCTGGTGTGCGCGCCTGTGGGTGATGATCCTTTGGGGCTGCCCGTTCTTCCTTCGGACTCGCCGCGCCCTTTGGCTCCTTTGCTGCTTGGCCGGCCTCGTCCGCGCGTAGCTCCTGCCGGCGCCGCCGCTGAGCCTGAACTTCCGCCTACCATCGCTACTACCTGGTAGAAGCCGCGCGCTAACTTCAGGTCGTTGAAGCGATTCCTGGCGTCCGCGTAGGCTGCGTAGACATCGCCGTGCTCGCCTGGGTCGAGCTCCTGAGCTGTGTTGGGGTCGCGCTAATAATGGCTCCCGTCGCAGTCGCGCCAGGTCTCGTCATCTTCTGCCCAGCGCGCCTGGTCGTAGTCGTCTGGCTCGTCCTCCGGCTCGCCAGTGGAATCTCTCTTCGTCGTACTCTGCATCCTCGTCGACGAACTATTGCTTCCGTGCGTGATTCGGCTCGTGAATGGTGCTCTCCTGCCCGAATGTTGTCTCAAACGCCTCGACAACCTTCTCCTGTGCGATGTCCTTGCCGACTGCCGACATAATGACTGCCTTCTGGTCCGCGCTGCGTCCTCCTCGACGTAATGCGAGCCAGCCCCGGACCTTCGCCGGTAGCTCGATGTCGTGCGTCGTGAGCTCCGGCTCTGCTGCTCGCGCTCTTGAAATGCAGGCGACAAGCGTCTCGCCCGTGTACCACTTGGGCTTGAAGAAAGACTCCTCGAAGTCGCCCGGGAGCTCCGTGCAATCGCCCATCTTGAACCGACTCCGTGGTCTCATCCTGGGCTGCTTCGCCGCGTTGGGCTAGACGAGCACGTTCGCTGAGAGGTCCTCCACTTCGCCCCATGCTTCGGCAGTGAAACCTGCGCTGAGCACGAGAGCTGCCTCGCCCTCCTTCTTCTCTAAAGTCAGCTTCGCGATGAAAATCATCGCCCGCTTCTCGTATTCTTCCAATTTGCTGAATGTGCCGTCGATCTGTGGAATTCCTCGCTCTGGTAGCACGTCCGCCATCGGCATGGACATCCTGCTGAGATCAAACTGCAAGGGGCTAGAGTCGTCCGCCACGTGTTCAACGAAATCGAACTTGCCCCGTTCTGCGAGATCGACCGTGCGGTCGAATGCGTGGGCTGCCGAGAAACTGACCTGGCGATCCTTGAGGTCCGCTGCCAGGTCGAAGCGTCTGGAGTTGGCGACCAGATCCGCAGAACTGCCGCCGAAATAGAGAAGGTCGAAGCAGGAGCCTGGTTTACCAGGCTCCGCTACCAATGTAAACTTATCAAAGCCCCCGAAGTCTTTGATGGCATAAGAATGAAGAGTATAAAGAATATCAGAGATGCTTTCACACCGCTGCTGCGTAGACTCAAAGGCCCTCAAAAGGTTTGGGCCGCAGTGCCGATGGTACGCTCGCTATGCTACAGTCATGCTTGGCTCTCTAACACACGGTGTACAGCGTATATCTCACACCACCAACACCACTACCTCCACCACCACAGACCACCATACCACCACCGACACCCAACGACCACCACAACCCTCCATCACCACAACCACCACCATCACCACAACCAACGTCACCACCACCACCAAAAACGCCACCACCACCAGCACCACCACAACCCACCACAACCCACCACAAACACCACCACCTCCACAAACCACCACACCGCCACCACCACCAACATCACCACAACCCACCACCAACACCACCACCACAACCCACCGCCAACACCACCACCACAAACCACCACACCACCACCACCACCACCACCACCACCACCACCAGCACCCAGCACCCAACACCCAGCACCCAGCACCCAGCACCCAACACCAGCACTACTACCAGCAGCACCACCACCACCACCAACACCACCACAAACCACCGCGCCACCACCACCACCGCCACAACCACCCACCACCACCATCACCACCTCAAAACACCACCACCATCACCACAAACAACCACACCACCACCACCACCAACACCACAACAGCTCACCACCACCACCACCGCCAATACAACAACCCACCACCACTACCACCACCACAACCTACCACACCACCACCACCACCACCGCCACAACCACCACCACTAATACCAGCAGCAGCACAACCAACCACCACCACCACCACAAACCACCTCACCACCATCACCACCACCGCCATTACCACCACCACCAGCACCCCCGCCGCCGCCGCCAGCCGCCGCCGACGCCAGCGCCGGCCCGAGGAGAGGGAGACAGGAAAAATAGGGGAGAGGGGGGGGGAATTCGACCCCCCCCCCTCCGTCACGGGAGGGGGGAAGGGGGGGGGGGGTGCTGTATTGTGCTCCGTGAGAGCGCTAGTCGAATTGCCCAGCGCCTCAAACATTAGAAGAGGAAGATCAGCGTGCGACCCCCCCCCTCCATCCATGGGGAGGGGGGGGGGTCCGGTTCCAAACCCCCCGCCCCCCCGTCCAAGCGACCACAGGACGCGCTCTGTCATACATGTAGAAAGTTAGAGAAACAGAAACAGACAGGGAGAGAGAGAGAGAGAGAGAGGTACGTAGAGAGAGAGAGAGAGAGAAAACGAGACCGATAGAGACATATTGTCACAGACGCCAGAGACCGACAAGGACGGATGAGTATAATGTGAGAGATAGAGAGAGATAGAGAGAGAGAGAGAGAACAAAAAAACACCCACCAACCCACCCACCCACAAACACATTCACATTCACATTCACATTCACATTTGCACACTCAGGAAATTGAATATGCAAGAGCACGTCAATTTAAATATGCCACCTTGTGCGAGGATCTTGACAAATTCTCTCGGAGGGTGGCGCCAAACATCATGTTTGTCGAAGTAACGGAAGGAGGACTTCACATGGGTCTCTCCACTGCTGTCATCTCCCCGTATACTGGACCCCGTGGCATCACGTTTGCTGGACCATGCTCGAAACCATTCTGCGGCCGTGGCACGATCTTAGCAGGCTACAGTCAGGCCACGAGTTTCGCTAAGATTGTCTTGCATCGAGTGTTGCATGCTCTGGCTCTCAAATACCCATCCCTGCACATTAGGGACGACATCGGCGATGTCGCGTTGCAACACCTGGGCACAGTCAAATGCATCGTTGAGCAGATTGGAGTCGCGGGCATCCAGATCAAGGACAAATTTGATAAGCTTGAGTTTGTCGTCTCGAGTAAGAAAACCAATCGCCTCGCCTCCTCCGAGGACGTTGGATAGGAGAGTCTTGGAAGTCTCTGCATTTGACAGTAAGATCTCGGTGAGGTCCCTGGGGTGCGACGCTGTCTGCAGAAAGATAAGGGGAATCCTAGAACACACACACACACACACCCACATTCAAATTGACACGCGCATTCACTCTCACACGCGCACACGCACATTCACACACATTTTCACACACACGCACGTGTTGGTTTTTTTTTCTATGTTCTCTCTCTCTCTCTCTCTCTCTCTCTCTCTCTCCCCCCCCACACACACACGCGCGCAAAAACGATAATGACTAATCAAAGCTGCTCGAAGATGGCAAACCGAACCGTGTCTGCTGAACTCGACTGTGGTATTTCCCGCACAGAACATGGCGATGCCGAATGACACTTTGCAGCGCAGGGCAGCCACCGGCCCGTGCTCAGAATGTTGGTGAATACTGCTACGGTGAATTCTTGTCAAGACGACTTCGGAAACGGTTAGAACACAGCGTGGATCTTTCAACCGTGCACGGTTGCGGCTTGCTGGTACCGACGATCGTTCGTTATCGACCCATTCTGGGCCACTGGTGGCGTTTAGCATCAAACGCCCGCGCTGGGGTCGCCGCCACGACAAAATCCTGTTGTACGCTGCTGCTTCTGCTTAGACGTCTGGTTCACGTTTCCTCCTCCACTTCTCTTCCTCGTCTGCCTCAGCCGTCCTCTTCCTTTTCGTCTTCCCCTTCCTCGTCTTCTCCTCCTCTTTCCTCACCTCCTCAATGCCCTCCAGCGGCAAACCTGGAAGTGCAACCAAACTCGGCTCCTCCCTTTCTGAAGCGTCCCTTCGTTTCTCCTCCAATCCAACTCTCAACAACTCCAACGCGCACCCCTCACGTGATCCTTGGGCGTCGCTTAATGGGGGGGGCGATAACTGGGGGGGAGAGGTGCACTGCTCGGACCCTCCAGGGGCCCTTTTTTGCAAGCCTCGTTGCCCCACCACTTGTCGCCCCCCCCCCCCACCCCGTGACGCGACGTCAAAGATCTATCCTCCTGCTCGTCCTCTGGCCTCTACTCCTCCTCCCTCATCCACATCCTGTCCCCTGAGCAATCACCCAGCATCCCTCCTGCTCTCCGTCCTCAACATTCCTTCCTTGTTCACACTCATTAGTTTTCCCTACTGGGCCAGGCGCTCAGTCTCCCGAGGCGCCGCTGGAGGTCCAGCCAGACTCACATATGGTTCCTCCTCAAGCCCTGTCCCTTTGGCCCCCCCGTCCTGTCCCCTCCCCTCCACTCCCCCTCCACCTTTCCAACGCGTGCAATCAATTACCACCCCCTCTGTGGCTGTTCCTCCTGGTCACGCCTAATCCTCCTCCTCCTCGTCCTGCTCCTCAATAACTGTCCCCGACTGGCCCCAAAGGCGGGTGCGGCTCGCTGCCAGGCCGATGCCCCCCACCGCCACGGGGTTGGTCCTGCGGCGCGCGGCGGGGCGCGCGCACGACGGCTCGACGCGGCGGCCCGCGCAGAAGCGCAGGGTCCGCGCGCGCACCCCTGAGATCCTGGTGTCGCCGTTTTTGGGAATCGCGCGTACGTACACTGAAGTATCTGGGCACCGCTTCGCAGAAACGTCACAAGACAACGCATCCTACAAAGTTTCCCGGCTGGTCCTCCAGGCGGCAGGTGTTGAACAACAGATATACACTGTGTTTGGGCCGCCATTTGCCAGCAAGCGTTGGACAAAGCGGACATGTTCCTGGCCCCAGATTTTCTCACAATTGGTGATTTTGCCCGTTGTTGGGCCCCTGGGCCCTCACGGACAGGCTCGAAGAGTGCAGCAGAAAGATGGGGTCCAGGGCTCTGGTGGAATTTTGGTCTGCGGTGTTGCAATTGTTCGCAATGTCCAATCTCACTGCCTCGATTAAGAAACAGCTCCTGGAATGCATACGCAACGCGGCCAAAGGCTATAAAACCCGATTCGTGAGGATCCGTTCAGCCAGATTCGCCCAAATTCAACCGAATCTTCAATCGGATTAGGTCGACTTAGGTCGGTGGGATTGAATGGAATTGAACGGGATCATGCCGGATTAGCCCCGCTTTCGACCACGGAAAAACCAGCGCCAATGCGGACTTCAACCTCCCAAGAATTGCATTTTACCGATCCCGCGAGCGCACTGCTCCGCAAGGCGAAGCCAGGACCAGGATAGGATCGGGTTCAGACAGATCGGGGATCTCTGAGATCCGGCGGTCCCTGACATCTTCTCGTTGCCTCTTGCTCACGGCTGGAAGGTATTTGCTCATGTCTGGCCTCCAGGGGCTCCAACTCGTCCCAAGGACCGTCAACACATAACTCTGGACAACAAACAATCCAAGGGAAGAAGTCCAGATCCCTGGGGAGTAACCATGTGAACAAAATTGCGGCGTCGGATGCCTGGGTACATCGGGGATCTCTGAAACCCGGCAGTTCTGAAGGAGACGTCGGGCGCCGCCGCCGTTCCAGAGCGCTGGAGTTCTCTGGAAGCGTTCTGGGCCGACTTATCCCGAATCGGCGATACAGCGCCGAAGGATAGGCAATGGGCTCCAGAGAACGCCCTTGGGCGGAGTGGGCTATCGGGACACTATCGGCGATGAGTGGGCGGATTGTGCGCCAAGGATTTGTTTCTTTCGCTGGCCCCGTCGTCTCCCCTCGTTGAGTCCTCGTCGCGTAAACCTGGGCAAACGCCCCCGCCTCGTGGGAATTGGGACCAAGGACCAGCAGCATAGGCAAGACCGATCCTCGTCATGAGAAAGCGTAGCCGGCTGCATTACGACAGGGGCGTCAAAAAACAGTCTAGAGTCTAGAGCCGGGGATGCCGGGGATATGCACTGAACAAGCGACGGCGTCGACTGTATGCATGCTGGCGTGGAATGCAGCTGGGGCGGAACCCGGCGACGATTCCGTCGATTTTGAATCTGAGCGGAACGTAGGACTACCAAGAGGTAAGGTCATGGAGCTCAGAAAACAAACGACTTCCCCTTTAAAGCCCCTTCGCCGTGCGGGCCGCGACCCGCTACTCAGGACGACGGGGAAACAGCCCTCAAGGAGGAGGATGTTTTAACCAGGACGGCTTCGAGAACAGTTCCAAAAGAGACCAAGGACCCGTGAGGAGGAGGTGCGCGCCGTCCGGCGCGCACGGCGAGAGTCTTCAGCTCTTGCCTTGTCCGAGTCCTTGCTCTTGCCAAAGCCTTTGCCCGGGGCGCAATGGCCAGCAACAAACGCGGCCGCGGCCGCTGCCCAAGGATCTGGAGCTGCAGCCTATGGATTAGCAGGAGCGTCGGCCGCAGAGGGTACACAGACCTCATGGGCAGGAATGTATGTGCACTTGCCTTTCTTCTTGCCTTTGCCTGGGCCGGGGAAATCAGCCTCGGCTGGAGGAGCACCTTCGTGAGCTTGTACTTCACGAGTAAGCTGAATTGCCGAAAGAACATCAGGAGCAGTGGCGATGGGTCCAGCAACCGCGCCGCGATCTCGGTCAGGAGGACCATGGCGATGTGGCTGTCGACCTCCTTGATCCTGGAGGGCCGCCGTCAAGGCAGCACCGAGCAAGGTGGGGCGGCGGGGCGGCAGCACCGATGCTCCAAGGCCGCGAGGGTTCGCACCAACGACTGCACCATCCGAACTTCAACCCGGGCAGCCTGCGCGCGACGGTCGGCGGCAAATCGGTGCAGGCGACCATCTCGCCGCCACGGGGGCACAGTGGGCAGAAACGGGACGAGGAGCGGGTGTGTGTGGGGGGGGGTGGGGGCGGAACAGAGGCCCGAGGGCCTCCTGGCGCGGGTTCGCGGGCAGGCCGATCCGAGCTAGCGCTAAGAAGAGGACGAGGAGGAGGAGGAGGCGGAGGAGGAGGGGGAGGAGGAGGGAAAGGCCAACGGCATCGGCAGCCGCGCACAACAGCGGGTCTGTGCCTGTTGCGGTGCGCCGCCGCGCTGCTGCGGCGACCCTGACGCGGACGCGGAGCGTCGCGTGACCCTCCAGGCAGACAGGCATTCCGATCGAGTCAATGCTCGGTCCGGAGTGGGGCGCGACTGTGGTAGACCTCGAGCATCACTACTGGTGCTCGAATAGAAAAACGCACGACATCGTCTTCGTGCTGAAGAAGATGATTGTTCAACGACGCCTCTGGCAAATCTGAACCGTATAACTCGCACGATGATCAGCGCAAAGTCGTCCCGTCCACGCCCACGTCCAGCCTCAAGAAAAGTTTTCGGCGGGTGCCAACGGCATAATCTTGCAGGCCAGCTGCCGTTCATATTGCCAAGTCGATAAGCCAATCTGAACTGCCGGCGTAGCAACTGGACGCTCCAGTCTTCCATTGGGAATTTTGCCAAAGCAGTCTCGAGTTTCAGTCGCATCCTTCGCATCGTGTCCTCCCAGGGCTCGTCCGCGAGACTAGTCCAACCAATTATGTTCCGAAGCATTCGCCGTTGCAGTGCGTCCAGTGACCCTCCAGGGAGTTCCCCCAACAAGTGGGACCTCGCGCAAACGCGCGGCCTCCGGGCCCGAAGGGGTGGAGGAGGAGGATTATGCTGCTTGAGACCCCCCCTGCGATGGAACGAACACAAGACGCCTGCCAGCTTAACCAGGCCTCGCTAGATAGGCGCGCGTACGGGGAACGGAAACTGGGGGCAGAAACGGGGAAGCCGCCAGGGCGCCTAAGTGGCGTCCAGATCACGGTCCAGCCAGCAAGCCTGGACCTGCCTTGCGGCTTGGCGCTAGAGTTCGGTGACGGTAGCGGAACACAAAACAGCTCCCCCTAATCAGCTTCTCTGCGAAGATCCTTTACAATTCTTCGAACGCAAAGCGAGATATGCTGGGCGAAATCGGCGGCCCATCGTGGCCCACATCGTGGCCCCGCAGCGTGGCCCCCAGCGTGACCTCCCGTCTGTGTACCTGTGAGCACAGCTGCGCAGGGTCTTCTGCCGTAAGGGTGTCGTTTTTAGGACGGGCGGCGTCGCGGCCACGTGCACAGCGGCGCGGCGGAGTCAGTCGGAGTAGTGCGGCCCCAGAAGATTGAAGTGTTCGGCCCCAGAAGTCCAGACTCCTCCTCTGGGCGTAAGTTTTCGTCCTGCATCCGTTTGTGATGGTTTGGGGGCCCCGACGACGGGCGCCAAAGGCAGGAATAGAAGAACAAACGTCCGCTGACACAGTCGTACAGACGAAGATCTGATCTGGGAACCACGCCCGCACGCTCACAAACATTCCTGCCTCCACCGACGCCGTGCGGCACCAGGTGCTGGCAAAGACTGTTCGAGAGGAGGCGGGCATGGGCCGCGCAAGCACGCATTCGAAGGGGGGCGAAAGGAAGTTCGGAAGCAACTGCTAGGAGGTCTTCGAACGACAGACTAAGAATTAACGGTTCTTAGGCCCGCTTGAGAAGGGCCCTCTTCAGGGGGGTTAAACCGAATTGCGCGGGATGGAATCGGATTCGGCGGGGTTCGCCTGGATTCGGCTGGTCTTCGACCACCGATAGGCCAGCGCTGATGTTGAATGTGACCTCCGAGGAGTTGCATCCTAAGTATTCGGCTCGGCTTGGCCGCCACGACCGCCTCCACGCACGTGCCTTCGATCCCCGCCGAGGAATCGGCGGTGCATCGCCGAGAGAGCAGCAACGCGCTCTCGACAGCGAAGCCGCACGTCCCCGGGGGGCGGGGCGGGGCACCCAGGCCCCGAGCGGCGAGGACTGGGCGATTGGGGTCCATGCTTCCCACCCCTGGGGCAGTCCCCCCCTGTCGTTGCTCCTGATCCTCCTCCTCCTTCTTCTCCTCCTCCTCCTCCTCCTCCTGCTCCTGTTCCTCCTGCTCCTCCTCCTCAACGGGGGAGCGCGCGCGGCGCGCGCAGAGGGTGGAGAGAGGGTGGAGGATGGCGCGCGCGCGCGGCAGAGCCAGTCCCCCCCCCTGGTCGGCGACCCTGCTGACACCACCCACACAGCTGCTCTGATCTGCCAAGGGCGAGGCGATATCTCCCAACACCCCAACTTTGCGCAGCCTCCCCTGCCGACGCAGCGACGCTCGCAACACATGCGGCTACACGCAAGACTGGCCCCAAGCAAAAGTGGCCGCACGTGCGCGGCCTGCTGCTCGCTTCACGCGATGAGACAGAAGCGGCTTGCGTGCTCGAATTTGGCTCCCCCGCGCCCCCTGAAAACCGCGCATCAAAGGTCATCAGTACGCAGCGCCGAGAAAGCAAGCAAGGAGCCGGGCGCCTCGACGGCGCATCGGCAGATAAGATGCCGTGCAGATGTGCACTGGCAAAGTGGTGAGAAATGGCGAACGACTGCGACTCTCTGCCGCCAGTGCTGCTTTGATACCGCGGGAGGCCAAGCAGAAAAGCGATGGTACAAAAATGACGGATGTTGAACTGTGTACGTGCTGCGTACGTGGCCGCTGCGTAAATCCGAGGGGGCACAAACACAGAGTCTGGCTGTGGCCCGTCACCAAAGTAGTCTACTGCACTCTCACACACACACAATCAGCACGGCAGCTTCCTGCCAGGGCCAACACAGGAGCTGGCCATCTTCCTCCTCCTCAAGCTCCTCCTTCTCCCCCTCCTCCTTCCAACTCCCCCTCTGCCCCTCCACCCCTCCTCGCCCTCTATCGAGGAAGGTGCCCAGCGGTTGGACCGATACCAGCTGCATGCAGTAGGTGTCGTACCCGCCCTTCCCTATCTACCCTTTTCGTCAGACCCCATCGAGGGGACCAGCTTGGGTGGGGGGAAACGCTTAGCTGGAATCGGGGATGCATCGCCGATTGATAGGCGAGGGGCCCCCGATGGCGAGGCTGCGCGCTCTGGCCCAGGGTGGTATATCAGGCCCCTAGTGGCGAGGAGTGGGCGATTGGAGGTCGACGCGGTCGGAAAGCCTCCCCCCTTGTCCGACCTCCTTGGTCCGACCAGAGAGGTCGGCGGGGATCTATCCATGACTACAGTCTGGGGGGATCAATCCTCGGGGACCTCCCAAACATGTCCCCGTCCACCGCCTGCCGAGGTCCCCGCAGATCGATCCTCCAGGCGGTGGTTACCGATGTCTCGGACGAGATTGGCGATTGGATCAGGACGCGTCATAAGAATTCTAGAGTGCCTAGAGGCCCTCGTTCCTGCAGCCTGTGCGAAACATTACGAACGCTGACTAAATCTGGGAAATCTGGGAACCGGTCATTCTCATGACCTCTAGCTCCTCTCGCCATCGCTCGGACGTCCATTCCCCGTGCTTCATTCCGATTTCGTGCGTCAGTTTCTCCCTTGATGACCCACGGGCTCCTCGATGGTCACCGCCGAAAAATACACACGCTCGAGCGATGCCAAGTCCCCTGAAGTAAATCATCGCCTCGGACGACGACGGCGACGGCGGCGCCCTCCCCGGAGCGGGGTCCCCGGCGGTAGCACCCCCCGCAGGAGCCCCGCCGGCTGCGGCGGCGACTCGCGGGTGCCGAGCCGCATGGCCGCCGCCCCCCTGAGACGGCGGGGAGGGACAGGCGGCAGCGAGAGCACGACGGGGAGGATGGAGGCCTCCCAACTGGGTTCCGAGTGCGCAGATGGAGTCGGAGGATGGCGACGCATCCCCGATGCATCGGGGACGTCGGCGATGCATCGACGCCGGCGGCTTGGAGAAAATGGCGCTTCGCATCGAGCCGCATCGCCGATCCGACCCTGTCTGCTCGGACCCCATTTGGGAGGCCTGGAGAAGGCGGGGCGCAGGAGGCTGGGATGGTGGACAGGGCCGTCAGCAAAATGACGGGGAACACTGACGCCCGCTCCAGCTGTGAACATCACCGATAACCCGAAGTGCCCCCCCGCCCCCCGCTTGCGGCACCCTCAGGCCACCACAGGCTGGCAAAGGAAAAGAGGTCGCACCACCCACGGCCATGGGAGCCATCCACTGTTGACGCCCCGGCCCCGCCGCAGACGCGGTCCTGGGAGTCCTAGCGGCGCGTCCGCGCATCCACCCGAGGGCCACTAGACGCCACGAGCAAAAGACGAAGGCAAGAGGATTATGTAGGAACATACGGAGGACTCAAAAAGGTAAGGATAGCAATGCTATGTGCTATCAAGTTTCACATCGATGCAACTGGAGCCTACAAATTATGGTATACACCTTCAGCTGAACCTCGTAGCGAAACGTCGCAGGAGAGGAGCAATTCAGGACCGCCGCCCCCGCCGCGCCACGTCGCGTCTGCCTCGCCGACGGCGGCCGACCGTCGCAAGCACGCAGCCTGCACTCTATACAAACACGGGCGCCGATACCCAGGAGCCCAGGGAGAGGGGGCGTGACGCTGACTGCGCGTGATCTGCGCACGCGGCTGCGACGTTCAGGCTCGCAGAGCATGCGAACTCAGGGTGACGGCCCCGTACCCTGCCAGTGCTGCTGATCTTCGCGGCCATCGTCGGACCGGCCGCCCGCCATCCTCTCGGAGGAGGACCAGTTGAGACAACGGCGGCTCCCCCTCCCAGCCCAGCTCCAGCCAAAATCGGTCCCCAGACCTCTCCCAGGGTCCATCCTGGCCCAATTCTAAAGGTTGACCCAGCCGTGGCGACGAGACGCCAGGAGCCCCAGAAGGAGAGAACACGCCAGGGAGGGCACTCTTCTTCTCGACTGTGGGACCCTGGGCAAGAGTGGCTTTCGTTAGGGGGGCTGCGGGGGAGGCCGAGCACCAGCCAGTGCTGGCGGGAGCGAGGCGGGCCCGCACCAAAGGTCATTCCGCGGCGAAGGGCCGCTCTTACGTAATTCGCCGAGCATGGCCCTCCTCCTGACCACCTACCACACCACCCCAGCCCAACCCGAAGACCCGAATTTCGGGTGGGGGGGGGGGGGGGTACGGGCTTCAGATGTAGTTCTTCAATGCTCCACGACCCCCCCCCGAGCTGGAGATGGAGGGCAAATCGGGGCCTGCGGGTTGGGTCGGGGTGGCCTGGTGGGCGGTGACCTCCGGTCCTCAGGCGTGCCGCGCCAGGCGCAGCCCCCTCGCCAGCCACCGCTGCGCCCCACCGGGCGCAGGCGGGCCCGCGGCGGGCCTCACGGCGCCGCCCCCCCCAGGCGCGGGCGGCCAGAGGCGCGCGGCCGGCAGCCGCGGGAGCCCCGCCGCCGGCAGCCCGCGCTGCGCCGCCCTGCGCGAGCTGAGCTCCGAGGGCCCGCGGTGCAGCCCGAGGAGGCCGCGCTGCAGCCCGCCGCAAAGCTCGGGGGCACTGGCCTCTCCGCTACGACCCAAGGCCGAGACCTCGGCGAGGGTCGTCGTCGTCGTCGTCGTCGTCGTCGTCGTCGTCGTCGGCAGGCGGCCCAGAGGGTCTTTCGATCCCAAGTTGAAGATCCAGGCCGCACTTCTGGGCCGAGACCTCTCGGGGAATAGCCCCCTGCGCGGGCACACGCTGGCCTGGGTTCGGGATCCGTGGATCTGGTCGCCCGTGGGCGCCAGATCTATGGACCAGGAGAAAATACCCCACGGCGGCTGGCCCGGTCGTCTCCCGACCTCTAGGTCGGGAGGCCATCGGGCCGAGATCGATCGATCTGTGAGCGCAGACCGATCGCATGCCAAAGGTCTGCATTTCAATCAAGCACACGCGCTAACGTGTATCACGGATCCGTGGATCTGGCGTGGGCGCCAAATCCACCGATCTGCCGACGGGCCGCGTCGATTCTTTACGGAAGCGGGGCTCGTCGCTAATTCACGCGCCTCAAACCGTACTTGCGCTTCCTCGACCCGCGCTTCATTGCCATATCTCCAACGATATTATTTCAAACCAACAATTGTTAATGGATTTCGGCCCTGGGGGGCCATTTTCGGGCCCTGGAACATTCAGAAATCTGTCCAGGACGATAAACTACCCCACCCAGGGAAGCGATCGGGTCCTCTAAGGCTGCGGATTGAGCAAATCATATCGGTGGATGTCTGGGGTCAAAGTTTCTGTGCGCTTGGCATTTATAGCGCTGCCACAAAATCTTCTGGAGGCCTCAACGGACCTCTGCGGAGGCCTCTGGATACTCACTTACATCCGGAGGACCTAGACCTCTGGCGCCGACACTGTGGGCCCTCGGCCAGCCTATCAGGCCCCATCCACTGGTCACTGGACCCTGTGTCTTGTCGCTGGTCGCTTCTCTACGGCCCCAGGAGGGCGAACCCCGCGAGACTTAGCGGACGAATCAAGTTTCAACATACGATTTGTCCGCCATCCAGGATGACATGGAACGATGGGCGGATGGCGAAACCGCACGGTCCTGGGCGGGGCGAGTCTATCGGGCCCCCATCGGCGACGAATGGGCAAGTGGGGGTCCATGCATCCCCCCTGAGCCCATCCCCTCCTGACGTTGTCCCGAGAGCGACGCCTGTCCCAGAGCGGCTGGAATAATTATACGTACCCTCACTGCATGCCGCCGTGGGGCAGCAATTGTCCAGCCGCCCCAGGACAGGCTTCCCCGAGAACGGAACAATCCATCTGATACCGCTCTTCGCTCGCTGCGACAAAAGCCGCCCGTCGCCGTGAAATTTTCGCGACGCACCGAGGTCTGAGCCTCCCCAGTTCACGTTGGACGAGTGGAATCCTGAGGGATGGGGACCTGAGGATAGGAAGGCATCCACGGGTGGATTGACGTCATTTGAGGCACCTCGTCCCCAGGGCCCCATTCCTCAGGACCCCATCTTGGAACCACCGACCCCTGAGTCTACCACTCCCTAGCATGGGAAAGACATACGCGTCCAACCACGTGCACGAATACGGCCACCCCGTCCGCGAGACCAGCCGCGTGACACGAACGTTCGTGCAACGCGAACTCTCGAAACCAGCGTGGATCCATGCACGTGTACGTCCTCCTTTCGCTCCTCTCTAGCGTTGCCCCTGACGCTCGGCCATCTGGCGGCCGTTCGGGGCGATCCGGGCATCCCTGGAACGCTCTCGGCGAGGCGCAGCTTCTTGAGAATATCCCAAAGATGGATAACTGCTGAGAGTCGACGAAAGCGCCCAGAAAGCTCGAACCTCGAGCTTATCTCCTGACACGCCACGATGCCTTGGCAGAAAGCCCGCCAGCGCCACCAGGCGGCGCTGTCACCTCCGCTGGTGCAGGGCCGCCGCCCTCCGCGAGGCCTCCCGAAGAGCCGCCTCCGCCGGCGCCGGCGCGCCCGCTGGGCGCGAGCGCGTCCGCGTCCCGCCGAGCCTGTTCCGCCTTGAGGCGGCCACACAGCCCGGTCAATCCGGGCATTTTTCATCGATTTCGGCATCCAGGGCCACTATCGGGCATGGGGCTATGAAAATGGATCCGGGACGAACACGCACCCCTGGGGAAGGAGTCGGGACCCCTGGGGCCGCGTATTCAAAAGTCATGTCGGAGGATGTTGATGTTTGGGTGTGAGCGACGTCCAGGAGCGTTTCTGGGGGTTCTCGTCGTCATGGCCGGGCGCAACTCGTACAACTCGCTAGGATGGGTCCCCACGGGAAACAGATTTTGAATGGATTTTGGTCGACCGACCCGTTCCCCACATATTGCGAAGCGGGTATTTATCCATCGCCAACTTCTGGGGGATCGGTCTTCGAGGGCCTCGGGAGGCGGTGGATGTGGATCTGGCAGTTGGCCTCCTCCCAGGCGCCGGAATACATGATCCTGGGTCGAGGGCTCACGGCTCCCTCTCCAGCTGAAAGGGGTCCCAGGGCCCCACGGGCTCACCCCCCCAGATCGGATGGGGGGGAGGGTCGTCGTCGACGAAGACGAAAACGACGACGGCGGCACGACGACGACACGATGACGACACCACGACGACGACGACGACGGCGACGACGCCGACGACGACGACACCGCAGAACCACCCCACGGGGAGGCACCGGCCCCCCCCACCACCCCACGCCCGCGGGGTGGGGGCTTCCACGCCACGCCCAGGAGGGGGAATTAGCGCGTGGAGGGGCCCGAGGGCATCAGCACGAGAGAGGGGGGGGAGCCCGTAGTCCAGAATCATAATCACATATCTTGATCCGCCGCCCGCCGAGGCCCCCGAAGCTCGGCTCCCCAAGGCGAGGGTTGTGGCAAACCCTCTCGGGATGGAAAACAAACACCCCGACGGGAAGCTTCGGTAATTTTCGGTCTCTGCGGCGAAGGCCCTGGAACAGTCAAGACACGAGTCGGGACGAGAAGCCGGTCCCGTTGGTCCTGGAGTGAAAAAATCACGACGTCGGATGTCCGGGACATGTGAGCCCTACCCTCGGGTCGGAAGAATGAAGAGGACAATATTGCCGCGCTTCCACCCTTTGCTGCAAAGGGGGGGTTGGCGAATCAGATTGCGTACAGCTGATTTCCCAAACACCTCCCGGCGCCAGAGGCGCCAATGTATTGAGGAGTGCGCCTGGAGGCGTAGCAACCGCGTGCAGCATTCTTTGCCCACCCCCAACCCCCGCATGGCCAATCCACTCTTTCCGTCCGCCCCGATTCCCCTGCTGACCACACGTCTGAACCGCTGGCTGGAGTTCAGTAACACGTCTTCTGCGGCCAGATGGGCCACACCAGGGGCGCCCGATGATCCAGCGTTGGCCCGCAGTGCCCAAATATCCGACGCCTTGTTTTTGCAACGTGCCCTCCCAGAGGTCTGGTTGGTGGCGCGTACAAGGGGGTAGGGGAGGGGGGAAGGCTTCTCAGAAGGAGGCTACTTCTTAAAAGGTGCCGGCTTACATCTATAGATAAGACCCGCGCCTTCTGAGAAGCAGGGTGCTTCTAAGAAGCCTTCCCACATTCCCCTACCCCCTACTTTGCGTGGCCGAACAGGTCTGGACCCCTTCCCTGGGATCGGCTTTTCATCCCGAGTCGTGTGGTGACGGTGCAGGGGGGCGGCGAGGACCTTCAGGGACCGAGGGACGGAGAAGCGGCACAAGCCTTCCGTTGCATCTCACACAGAATCATACCAACCTGGCGCGATACGGACGCCCCATCCCCACATCCTACTTTGAACTCCGATGTCGCGAAACAAGCATGCAACATCGTACGCATCACAAGCTCGACCAACGCCCCCCATCTTTCTGCTGCATTTTGGAACGGTATCGATCCAGAAAGGTTTGGGGGCCCGACACAAATCAAAATTGCACAATGGCCCAGCGCTAAAGCGACGCAAGGATCCCATGAACCAGGTGTGGCCAGGTGGACCCCAGCGGGGGTGTCCGATGCCCAAGCGTCGATTGGACCCGCAGAAGGTAAGGTTCACAAATACCCGTCTCGGCCAATGCAAGAAAAACTTCGCTGCATTTTTCTGCGGCTTCCAAAACCGGGCTCCGAAAATATTCAACAATCCTAAAACAAATACGGAACAAATGGGTACAATGTCAAACAGCAGACCTCGCCCAGAACCGACAGCGGCCGCGGTTGGGTAGGCCACTTTCGTCTCAAGTCAACGTCCGTGACGACGCCGACAGCGAACCCTGTTCAAAAAGGACCAGGATGACTGTCGGCAGTCGTCCCCATTTCCGTACACCACAAGGGCCAGCCAAATTCAGGCTTTGAAGGATCTTGGAGGATCCGGCGTTCTGGTTGAGCCCCGCTTGCGTCGAACATCTTTGCCGTCGATCGAACGTTCATTCCCCGTGCATTGTGTGGCTTCGTGCGTGCTGCTGTTTTTCTGTTTTCTCAAGACTGTCCAAGAAAAATGCTTCACGATAATGATGATGATCGACCCTATATAGTGTTGGGTCCATCATCCTAATGATACAATGGCCATCAGGATCAAGGGGGTGATCACTTGACATCGCCATATCGATGATGGAGGACATCAAGATCACCACGATGCTGATGACGGTGATGATGACGACGATGACGATGACGATGACGATGACGATGACGACGACGACGATGATGATGATGATGATGATGATGATGGTGATGAGGATGGGTTCAACGCCCCGCTACTTGTCCAACTTCTCTCGCATGGTCCACTATCGTTTCAGCACAACTTCCGCAAACCACGTCTTAAGAAGGCACCGACAGGAGCAAACGCCCTCCGAGACCCAATGGGGGGGGCTCTCGGGGGGACGGCCGGCAAACGGAGGACAAGGGAAGGAGGAAGAAGACGGAGGTGACGAGGGGGAAGACACGACGACCACAAAGCGCAGAAACGACAACGCGAGGGGATGGGAAAAAGAGAGGGGAGGCGACAAAACAACTTGACTAGATAAGACGAAAAGAGGCAGAACGACAGGAAACGCAACGGCGGCAACCTTATGTTGCCAGTTGCCTGACCTGCCAAGGAATTACAGCGAGCTGGATACAAGGGAACCCGACGCACGCTCAGACCACCGAGGACATTGAGGCCAAGGGGAGAAACAGTCCATGCCACCAGTCGGCACGACAGCGAGTTGACTCGGGTGCTCGCACGCTCCGAAGACATCTCGGGCTGACGATTCGCAACTCCGACGTTTGCAGAATCTCGAACACAATCATCAAGCATAGAGCACAACTCGGACATGAACCCATGCATCAATCTCTTACATCCGGCCAGGGAAATGCGGCACTCCACGGTAGCACACCACGCAACATAACTATCGCCTAAGAACGTATTTGCGAACGAGGCGGGACTCAGAAGGCGAATCTGAGCGGCTGGCCTGCTGCGACACGTGCGAGCAAGCGACGCCCCACAACCATCGCATCAGCTGCAACCTCGCCAAAGAATAGGAATGCAAGAGAAGACGGAACAGACTCCTCCACGTAACAATCGTCTCCCGCAAAGCCACCGCACTGAACCGGGGCCCGCAATGAGCTGAAGGCCTGCTCTGCACTTCCGGAAGCCTACCCGAACGTGTTGTACTGGACTGCCTGGTTGAACGGCGTAGAGGAAGAGGAGGGGTCGCACCTCCAGGAGCATGATGACGTTGGCCATGCGCGCAGTCTCGAACAGCAGCGCCGCCATAACGGGGAGAACGACCGCCGACGGCATGAAGGAGATCACCTCCAGGTTGGTGGCTTCCAGCAACAGCCGCCGATGATCCCCACGGGGATGGAGAACGGCACCTTGAGGAGCATCCGCAGGGCCACGGACTGCCCCAGCAGCAGGACGGCGAAGACCAGAAACAATATTATTCGGCTCCCTGACCAACAGCACAACCGACAACGACGCCAGGGACAGGATGAGTCCGAGGTGCCGACCAGGGATCGGACCCTGGTGACGCCCAAGAGTTCGCAGACCACTGAGAGGATCTCGCACATGCCGAAGTCCGCCTCCAGGGCCAAGATCACCACCCCATCGTCACCGTTAAGACGATCAGCAACACCACCAACATCTTCATTACAACGTGGATGATCCGCGAGCCAGACGTTGATCTCGCTGGTGTAGGACGATTGGTGCCTGTGCCCACAATTCACCACCACCGTTGCAGCAGTATGCGCAGTGATGGCGTCCAGCGTGCTCAATGGTAAGTGCCCGAGCAGCTGGCGATGTGGCGGTCTCGCCTGTCCGATGAAAACCTTCACCTTCGCACGGCCGTCAGCAGCAGCCGAGCCAGATGTGATTTGCGCAGGCCTCCCTTGCTCAATCGCCCGTCGGGCCCACACTAAGTGAGCCACCACCACCATCGGAGTGAGAGTGCCAGAAGAAACAGCGGAGCGCAAGTGCACTCCGAAAGGCACGGGGGGCCAGCAGGTGCTGAAGCCAACATGCCGATGATGATGACGATGATGATACTGCTGATGATGATGAGGATGGTGGTGGTGATGATGATGATGATGGTGGTGGTGATGATGATGATGCTGACAATGATGATCCTCCTCCTCGTCCTCATGTTCATGAGCATGATCATGCTCATGGTCATGATGATGATCATCCTCGTCATCATCATCATCATCATCATCAGCATCATCGCTATCCTTATCATCATCGTCGTCATAACAATCATGGTCATCATGATGATGATCATCATCATCACCATCATCATCATCGCCACCACCACCATCAGCATCATCATCGTTAAAACCACCATACTCATCATCATCGTCGTCAGTGTAATCGTCGTCATCATTAGCATCAGCATCAGCAGCATCATCATCATCAACATCATCACCATCACCACCATCATCACCACCACAATCACCATCATCAGCATCATCATCACCACCATATCATCATGAGCATCGTCATCATCACCATCACCATCATCATCATCACCATCATCATCTTCATCACCATCACCATCACCATCACCCTCACCATCATCAGCATCAGCATCAGCATCAACAGCAGCATCAACATCAGCATCAACATCAGCATCAGCATCATCACCCTCATCCTCATCCTCATCCTCATCCTCATCCTCATCCTCATCCTCCTCA